GATGCTTACCTGATATTTTATGTCCAGTAGTGTTTGTTTTATGAAGTTGGCCATAGTAGTGTTCAATATATATATATTTCCAATTGTTATCTCTTCCCATTAAATTTTTCCCTTAACCACTATTTTCCAACCTTCTTTGGCTCTTCTGAACAGTTTTGGCTTGAAGTCCACTTTGTCAGAAAATACCACAGCTACTTCTGCTCGTTTTGGGATTCTTGTTGCATGGAATATTGTTTTCCATCCTTTGATTTTTTTTGTCTATTAATTTCTTCTTGATGAAATATATTTCTCACACACAACATAATATGGGATTTTGTTTCTTGATTCATTCTGTCAATCTGTATCTTTTGATTGGAGAATTGAGACCATTCACATTGAGAATTATTACTGAAGGGTATTGACTTATTCCTGTCATTGCATTATTTTTCAGTTGCTTATTCCCTCTTTCACCTCCTCTACTTAATTTCTCATTCTGTCTGGTGTACTCATTCTATTACAAATTTTGGCATTGTTAGCTTCATTGTCTCGTCTGAGGAAGTCCTTAAAAAATTTTTGGAGTGATGGTTTGATGATCTTAAATTTCTTAAGATGGAAAGACCTTATTTCTGTATTTTGAAAGATAATTTTGCAGGATATATCAGTCTGAATTGGAAGATTTTTCCTTTTTGGACTTGAATTGCTTCATTCCCAGCTTTCTTGGTTTTTAAGGTTTTTATTGAAAAATCTGCCATCATTCTAATGGGTTTACATTTATAAATGATTCATTGATTTATATAACAGCTTTTAAGATTTGGCCTTTGTGTTAGCATTTTGAAAGTTTAACTATTTTCTGAATGTGGTTCTTCATGTTCTATATGCCTCAATTGTCTGTATGTTAGATTCTTTCCCCACATTTGGAAATTTTTATGTTATTATTTCTGTAAATAGGATTTTATGCCATTTGTGCTAATAATTTTTCACTAATTCCGATTAACTTTAGATCAGTCTTCCTCTCATCATCTAGCAGCTATTGGATCCATTTTTCATGTTCTTTTATTTTTAAGGTATACCAAGTAATGGTCACTAGCATTAGTTCTATCTTCTAGTTCTTCACACTGATCATTTCTGCTGCCAATACTTTCAGTAGAATTTGTAGCCAGGCATGGTAGCATATGCTACTAACTGAAGCACTCATGAGACAGAGACACGATTACTGCCTCAAATTTAAGGCCAGCCAGTCTGGGCTATATAGTGAGTTTAAGACCAGCCTGTGCAAGACCTTGGGCTGTACAGTAAGTTTAAAACCAGCCTGTGTGAGACCCCATCACACACATGCACACGCACACACACACACACACACACCAAGAAAACCACTTTTAATCTAGATTTCTGTTTGGTACCTTTTCATGAACTCTAATTCTTTGCTAAGCTGGTCATTTGTGTTTTGTATCATTTTGCTTAGCTCAGCTAGCTTTTCATGAGTGTCTCCTGTAAACTCACTGATCATTTGCTTTACTGGTTTCACTATCTGTTTAGTTATATCTTCTTTGAGTTCTCTAGCACCTTATTGAGCTGTTGTTTTAATCTCCTCTTTTTTCGTTTTGAATAATCCAATGATGTGGCTTTCAATTTCCACTCCCTCAGTGCTCCATGGATCAGCTCGGAGGGTGTTAGGAGTTTTTACAGGCATTTTGTTGCCTTATTTTCTCATATTCCTACTGCTTTTTGTTTCACTTTAAGCTGAAATTTGTGAGTCAGCTGTAGTGGAAAGATTTTGTTGCTAGGATGGAGAGCTCTTTAGTTAATGTTGGCTTTTCTGTGATCCACTCTGAGTGCAGCTAATTATAGATCTTTACCTCTGTTCAAAGATTCAGCCACCTCCATTAATTTGATATGGAGGATTCAGTGTAATTGGCTCAGCACCCAAGTACCCAAGAATGGACTAAAATATTGTTAGTAATCCAGAGGCAATCCAGATATTGGCACACAGAGAAAAACCATTAATAGCAACAACTCTGCCACCTTGACAATTGCAAAAAAATCAGCAGCATAATAGTGTCAAAAACAACTGCATATTGTCGTACCATAAGAACTAATAATGCAAAAATGATGGAACATTTAATGAGTTCACACATCACCCTTGCACAATTTAGTGCATGTCCTGCTGAACGGACCACTGTGCTGCTAAACTGAACCAAATTAGCTTTATTTTCTACATAGGTAAACACTGCGGAATCCAGAAAGTTTTGTACAGTGCTGGTCATAAAAGTCCACATTCACACTGGATACACCAAACATGGCTGAAAGGTCTATCTTGATCATAAAATTTAAAGAATACCTTCTGTTACTCAGTGATGAGACATGAAAAAAAAAGAAAACACCACAGTCAGCTGCTACCCTCATGAGTCACATGAGGCTCAGGCTGCAACAGACGAAACTAACTGCTGCAGTACAATCCAGTAAGGTCACATTCGACTGTCCCAAAACATGTTTCAGTCAACTGTGAAAAGACTAGACCTGAGTTTTTAATTAGCCAGTATTTTTCACCATTTTCAGCACAGAAAGTCTTCAGCAATACCATCATTTCACTAAAAGGAAAAATAATGTTTTATATGAAAGTAACATTATTAAGAATTAAAAGTGCCTTTTAATTGAAATAAAGACCGCAGAGCTCTTTTGAGATTGCTATACTTCTTGTGGTTTTCAGACACTGATGCACAAATAAAAAGAATCTATATCTATATATTTATATATAACCTGAGATTATCTCTCCTTTTACATAATTATAGTCTGTTGTCTGTTTGTAATAAGTTGTAGTCTACAAATATCAGCTCAAATATATATTTTTCACATATCTATTTATACTTATATAGATTATATATTTACTTATTTATATTTTATATGTTATATATATCTTTATTTTAAATTCAAACACTCATGAAAAAGTTTTTTTTTTGTTTGTTTTTTGAGATAGGATCTCACTTTGCAGTTCAGGTTGATGTTGAACTCACTATGTAGCCCAGGCTGGCCTCAACCTGGAGGCAATCCTCTTGCTACAGCCTCCCAAGCACTAGGATCGCAAGTGTGTGCCACCACACCTGGCTCACTCATGAAATTTTTAACATAATTATTTAAAAGCTAGAGAATTGTACATTTATTTGTACTTTTTAAATTTTACACCATATATTTGTATTATAAAATATAAAACATAAAAAAGCAATATAGAGGAAAAGATGATAATTCAGGAAGATAGGATTGGCTTTATCTTTATTAGACACAGTAAGAAGAGCTGCAAAACTATAAGAATGGTAGAAAAAGGGCAGAAACATCCTGCCTTTGTGAAAATAAGATAATTACAGTGTATCTCATATTCGATCAATTTTTTATTTATTTTTATTATTTTGTTTTTTTGAGACAGGGTGTCACTATGCAGTTCAGGCTGGCCTTGAGCTCATGTTGTAATTCAGGCTGGCCTTGAACTAAGGATCCTCTTGCCTCAGCCTCCAAAGTGCTGAGATTACAGGCATGTGCCACCACGCCCAGCTCATGGTCAATATTTTTAAAATAGTGCATAGTCAGCTAGAATTGTAATTCCTTCAGAAGTCTGAAATAAACATTAACATTAGTACTTTTTCTTCTTCTTCCCCTCAGGAATTTTTTAACTTACATAAAAACTTTAATTCTACATTGTCTGTCCTACTTGAATCTTAAATTTTAAGAAATTTTTGCAAAATAGCACTTTCTCTTGAACAGTTTCACTTGCAGCTAGCTTAACTGTCTTTTAAGAGAGCACAGTTTTGGAGGAAAGAGAGAAGACAAAACTATCCTCATGGCCTATGGGCACTAAGGATGTCAAGTTTTGGAGTTGGAATAGATCTGGAGATTTTCTAATTCAAATCCTTGTGAGAGTACATGGCTCACCCCCTTAAGAATACAAACAACTTGAGGATAGAAACCATAAATTATAAATTATTTTTCTCATGTCTGCAGCTATACAATATTATGACAACATAATCTTTAAAATACTCAACAAGTAGGCAGATGAATTCTGAAAGCTTTTAGAGCTGTTCCTGGGAGATTTCAGACTTTATCTTGAAAACCTTTCATGAGCTGGGCACAGTGGTGCACACCTCTAATCCCAAGTATTTGAGAGGCTGAGGCAGGAAGATGGGAAGTTTGAGACCAGTTTGGGCAATGTAAAAAGAATCTGCCTCAAAATAACTTTTATAAATAGCTTGGGGTATTGCTCAGTAGTATAGTAGAGTGTTGCCTACCATGTGTGAGATCCAGCTTCAATCTCAAGTATTGTAAATTAAAGACTCTATCTTTCATGAACTTCTTTAAATTTATGATGCAATGTTTTATCTAAATTAGCCTTTAAATATGTGAATTTTTAATATATTTTATTACTTTTTTCTTTATGGTAATAAAAGTATACAATATGAGTCTACCTACTTAAATTTCTGTACAGTACACTATTGTCAACTATCATCAACAATATTGTATAGCAGAAATCTAGAATTTTTTCATCTTGAATATCTGCAACTCAGTCTCTTCTGAACAGCCACTCCTCCTGCCCTTGTTCACTGCTACTCAACTATCTGCTGCTAAGAGTTTGACTAGATACCTTATAAGTAGAATCTTTGTTTAGATATGGTCACAATGTGATATGTGTATGTATGAATTCCCAAGATAAATGTAATTGTTATATATTGTAAGCATATACTAATTAAAAAAACATAAGAGAACAACAGGAAAAACTAAAGCAGATTCTTAGTTCCCCTTTCTTTTCCTTTTTTTTCTTTTTTCTATTGAAATATATAGGAAATCTGCCCTCATTTTCTCTCCAACTCTGTCTTATAGTGTCCTGGTTTTCTATCTCAACTAAAATAAATAAATAATCCCTTTAACTTAACAAAAAAAAAAAATAGAATCTTTGTTGGCAAGGAGGTTGGAAAAGAGGATCTGACTCCTTTAAAATGGCTTGATTGACTGTTTCACTCTGATAAATTCATTTCCAGAGGAGATTTGTACCCTTGTTATTGCTGAGACTTTCCCTGAAGATGCAGGAATTTTTACCTGTTCAGCAAGAAATGATTTTGGATCAGTGACCAGCACTGCCCAGCTAGTTGTCACCTCAGGTATGTGAGAAGGGAAAAATGACTGGATTCTGTTCCCTGTTCTAGTTCCCCGCTCTTTGCTACAGCAGAAAGCAATTGTCCCAGGTAGAGTGTCAGCAGTTAGGAATCCTGGCTGCCATTCCAGGAGTTTCTAGAACAATCAGATGCTTCATCAGAAAACAGAGGCTGTGGAGGAGGGTTGTGGGAGGGGGTGGAATTGGAGGTGACAAGCAAGACAATGAGAATGTAACAACTGAGTACTTTGGGGTATTTTTTTAAAACATGCCACCTTGGTCTTGAAACAATGGAGCTGGTTTCCAAACATCTTCATGATAACTGAGAATCATATTCACCTCAGAAGGTCACCTCTAAATCAGAGGTACAGTCTGTGTTCTCAGCAGTGTAAACATGTGAAAGCCGCAGATACTTTTACAAGTACACCATTGTCTAATTCTCTATTCAAACTTCTGAAAAGGTAATGGAAGATAAATCTGGTATAATTCAGATCAGGTGCAAATCTTTCAATGATACTGTAGCTCATGACAGTATATAACTCTGATATGAAAAATAAAGCCATATATTCTAGTACTGAAATGAATATTTAAAAATATATGGACATTTTCTAAATTCAAAAACTTACCACAAGGGAAGGAAATATGAAACAGCTTTTTGTTTATTTAAGTAATTTATCTGTTTAGTTGACTGCAGAATTTGCCAAAAAATATTTATATGCTTCAGGAAAAGAAAAATTTGTATAAATATTTTAATACAAAATTTATTGAGACATCCTGAGATTAATACAAGGTACCTTTGGCCTCTGCGATTAATTTCAGAGGTGCTCAAAGTGGTGGCCATTAACTTCCATTTATTAGTACAGTGAAATGTTGCTTGGGTAACTTGGTCATTGAGATTGCTACACATGTATTTCCAATTTCTTCTCTAACAGCCAGCAGTGCTGTGAGTTTTCTGCTATATATGACATCTTCTAGAGTCCCCAGTACAAGGGTAACACTATCTGTTGAAAAAACACCACACTATTTTCCTTTTCCTGAAGTGTGTGTACCACTACTGTTGAGCTTCTTGTCAGCTTATGCTGATTTCCTCATCTCTGTTAGTAATCTCATAAAGACTTTTTAAATATCTCTTTGACTGAGCCTACCACCTCAGCAGTAATTCACACTGTAAGGAAGAAGTAAGTCTCTGTTTGAATAAGACAGACTCTGAGAGAACTATTGAATTGTCCTTGATTCCTAAAAGAGGAAGAACTTGGGGCTAGGTGGCAGCAGAGGCACAACCAAAACTGTTTGGGGATGTGAAGAGTCCCAGTTGCAAAACCTTTTTTATCTTAAGTATAGAAATTCCAAGTTTACCTTCGTGGAGAAATGGTTAAATGAATGAGCACTTTAAGTGGTCAAAGGGGACCCCAATATCACAATTGGAGCTACTTAGGGAGTATCCCAGTATTTTGATTTTGAGCTGGCTTGAAGACTTTCCTATCAAATAGTCCCGACAGACTGCAGTGCTCAACAACACAACTGGACTCTGAGTTTCAGTGGCCAAAATTGGTGTGTAACATTTCTATTTCTATTGGGGACAAGTGTACTATAGTCCCAACATACTCAATCAATACTTTCAGCTTTGCGTTCACCTCAGTGAACATTTCTTTGTGCATAGGAGAAGCTCTGATGGGCTCTGGGCAAGGTGAGAAATCCAAAGACGAAATCTCAAGATGCTTTCATTATATTGGGACAGAGGAGTTTTTAAAAAATCTCTTATACTGAGGTACAATTGGGGCAATCATTTGACATGAAGAATACTTTTCAATGAGATCATGACACATTTCATTTGAACTCACAGCTCTATCCCCTTAGCTCTAAAGAAAATCCACAGAAAACTTTTATAGCTTGAGCTACTGTTGTTGATAAACACAGGTAGAATATTCCACTGGCTCCACAGGCTAAAAAGTAAAAGGACAAAACATTATTGGTTGATACCGTTTGTGCTGCCATTTTTTTAACTGAGTCCTATCTTTAGCCGTCCTTTAAAGCTTGCTAATAAATCAGTTGGTAGGTGGTTCCTCCACTTTGGAGCTCAGTCCAGAATTGAGAACAAGTAACAGTTCCTGAAAACAAGCTTGGAAGAGCTGGGCCTCCAGCTAGCAGTGCTTCTGCGTCCAGTGAGAGCAGAACACTACCTCTTCTCTAACAATAAGACACAGGGGTTCTTAGAACTATGACCATGTGAAAATTAGTTTTTGAACTAGTATCTTATTATTTTTTTGAAGTAGCATCTTATTATTTTTTTCATCTCTTTCCCCTCCCTTAGCCAATACAGAGAGCTACAATTACAATACAATGGGAAAATCCAACAACGATCACTTTCCACATTTTCCACCCCCGCCTCCAAATTTGGAGACAAATTCCTTTGAGTTGGCTTCCAAGAAACCATCTGAGAACCAGCAGGTGAACAGCCCTGGTCTTGGACTCAGTATGGCACCCCTTCAAATGCAATTCAGTTCTCCTGAGAGAGAAACTAACGGAGTCCATCCCAGTCATGGAGTAAATGGACTGATCAATGGCAAAGCCAACGGAAGTAAGTCTCTACCAACACCAGCTGTGCTGCTTTCGCCTACTAAGGAGCCACCACCTCTGCTCGCCAAACCAAAACTGTGAGTGTTTCTTAATGGTTTTATAATGCTTTCCGTGTTGCTCCTCAGTTTTCTCTCTCATTAGAAAAAAGTTTTTGCTTGGATTCATCTTGGTGGTAAGTCGCCCCTTCATCAGGCAAATTGTCCCTGATTGATGCAACCCTGCTAACTGGGGTCCTTTAAAAATATAAAAGATACCTAAAAATAAAGAAAGTGAGTGACAAGCTTGGTTAAATCTGCCCTTTGCTAAAAGCTGTAAGTGGTTACGGCTGTGAAAATATCTCTGAGTGGCATGGCCTTCCACCGCGCAGCCAAAGATGCAACCACTCCCCAGGCGGGATGGAAAAGGGGAGGGGTCCCTTGGAGCCTTCTCTTAAAGCATTGCCAAGTGTTTAAAATGTAGGAATTGGTGAGCAGATCTGATAGAGATAAGAGGACAAAATAAAGAGGGTGGGAATTCAGTGTGAAGATCCTGGCCAGGGAAGTGAAACCAGAGCCGGCCGGGCTCGTCAGGAGGAAGAGTGCCCTTCAACAACACAACCTGCTTGACTTTGGAATTCCATGGAGCTACATAGTCCACCTTCATATTTGATTTCCAGTATTTTCTTAGGGTGATAAACCTCGCATGGATGTTTCCATTGGCACCGCACAGCAGAGAATTGTTATGAATGCGGCCATTACAGTGTCAGAGAGAGACAAAAATCCATTAACTCAAAAGTTTCTATCACAGCATAACAGACCTTGAGTTACTGCCCTGACAGAGGGCAGGGGAAATGTAAGAGTCGGATTGAATGTGTGTGTATTCCACCAGGTCACATTTCCATGAGAATGAATTTGCCAGCATCTGGGAAAGTACCTTCTATCTCCTATTATGTTTTTGACTTGGGGCAGGAAGGATTTCTGGAAAATAGGAATTATTGTCTTCTTAGTACTGCACCATCAGTTGTCTTTTCTGTGATTGGCTCATTTGTTAGAAATGTTAAAATTTTTAAGATCCCCAGAGAATGCCTTATATCTGGACATCAATCACCCTATTGTTTATTTCATGAATATCACTAGACTAACCAGCTCAAAAAAGACCATTAGTTAACAAATGGGCAAGAAATTTTATAAAATAAATTTCTCAACAATTTTGTGCTGCACTTTAAAAAAGCTTTCTATTACTGTCCCGCAATGAAGTTCTGGCTGTTTTTTAAGGCAGTGGGGCTACTGACTACATTGTTATACCATAGAGTAAAAGGTGAACACTTCAGACCTGCGTGCCGGGCCCACCAGGGACTGAGCAGGTAAAATGAGCTAAAACATGGCAGCCATAAAAGAGATTTACACTCTTATAGCACCAGCCATAAAATTAATTGCCACTGCTGACTCCTTTCATCTTTGCATTTCGAATATGTACCTGCAGTGCTTTTAACGAAACAAGGGACCTGCTCTCCTGGGAAAGAAAGGATGAATGTGTTTAATGAGTGGGACTGGACCGTGCTCTTGATTAAGTGAAGTGTATCTACTCTAATGACCATCATAAATCGAATATAAGTCACAGGAGAGTAAACATGCGGCGCTGTTAATAGGCATTTACAGCCTTTCTTATCTCAGGCATTTCAACAACTCCTCAGCTTTTAGCTCTCTGTAGTGATGTTGTGGGTGGGGAGGGTCGTACTCACAAAGGACAGATGACACAATCTTGTGGTTATTAAGGGAATGAGGGGATTTAGCACAAGTTTGAAGAGTGACATCATTATTTGCTTATGAGTCAGATTTTCAAGGTAAAAGAAGATGCAAGAAAGGGGATCCTTAGTGTTTGAAATTCAAAGATCTCACTCCTCTGCAATGAGGAAATTTAGGAACAGAGAGAGCAGGCAAGCGCCTGATACAAAACCTGGTAATTTAGAAATACATTTAATTGTTGCAGATTGAACCACTATTTATTTCTTAAAATCTTTGTGTGTTGAAATATTTTCCTAGAGTATCAATTAATAATTTTCTTATTGCATAAATTGCCGGCCATTTAACTAGGTAGAAAATAATAATATATATAATATATATATATTATATATATTCCCATGATTTATAACTTACTGGGTTTTATTTTAATTACAAAATAAATAGATGCTGATGTGAGAATTCAAATAATACAAACACAATCAAAGAAAGAGTCCTTGCTCTCTGCTTTCACCTCTTCCAACACACCTTCACCAGGTCACCCGTGCTACTGGTTTGTTCTGAGGTCCAAACTGCTCTCTCTGTCATCAGGATGATTCAGGAGAAGATTTGCTCATTGTTTAAAACATTGTGTGAGCTGATGGGGAAATCCCATAAAATGACATCAGCAAATAATTGAGTAATTGATGGCTACAGGTAACTGCCAAGTAAAATTGTTACACATCTTTCTTTTCATATATTGGGAAAAAATGGTACTTTTTTGCCTCTTGTGGTTCACAGTGGAAAAAAAAATAGTTTGCGCTAATCTTTATTTCATAAGCCAATGATTTTATATTTTTTCTAGAAGGATAATTTTATACTTGGGATCTCTCTACCTTTCATGCATTTTCATCATTTGTACTCAAGCTAATAGGAAACAATTAGGAGGGGCAAGTCATGGGAATTGAAATATTTACTTTCACAATAAATTAACCTGAAAATGGTGTAGTAGTTGTTGGATTCTTGGGTAGGAAATGTTATTTTCAAAAAGAAAATCTCTTTGCAGTTTTTCCTCTCATAGAGTACCAATAGTGATCATGGGACGAGAAAAAAAAATCTATGGCCAATATGAAGAGATGAAAATGTCACTAACTCTTTCCTCTAAGCGTGGCCCCCACCTTTTGTCATCTAATAGAAGTGTTCACCAGTACCTTTGCGAGCATCTTACATCTCCCCTAGGCCTGCCATTCTTGACCATCAGGGTGAATTTCCTGCTCAGGATCATGGAGGCATCATCACTGGACAGGCCCCCAGAAGGTCTCCCCCAAAGAGGAGATGGGGACCTCAACTCACCCCACCCACACAGTAGATTGTAGGCCTGCTGGCTTACGTCACAAAAGAGAATTGCAGAATATGTCAGTGAGAGACATAGAAAGGTTTATTAAGCAGAATCATAGACGTACACACAGAGAAAATAGGGTGTGGTAGAGGGGCACTGAGGTCTGGGCTTGGTGGCTTTATGTGGTTTTGTGATGTCCTCCAGACAGTCAATCTAGAATGTGTATTCCTAGAGACTGTCAAGGTATCCCTTTAGTGGGCTGTCTGACAGTGCAAATCATTTGCATATGTTTGAAGTTTCTAGCTATGCTACCCACTTGATAGTGCTATTCCTTGGAGAGTAGAAGTCTGTGGTTTTAGGAATCAATATTGGAGGGAAAAAGAGAAGTTCAATTTACAGATGAAAAGCATGGGCCCAATTTACAGGCTGATTGTATCTTTAAGACCCTTAGAAATTTTTTCTCAGCAAGTGTCCTAAAAGGGAAAAAGGCGTTGTAACATTAAGTAACTCTGATTGTGTACTGAAGCTGCAGTTTTCTTTTCTTTTTTTTTTTGACTAATTAATTTTATTGGTACATTTTAGATATACATAATGATAATATTCATATAGAATTTGTACCTGTGTATGATATATCTTATTCTTCTTTTTTTCCCATTCTCCTCCTCTCCCTTCAACCCCTCTTCCCCTCCTTATTTACAAAAGCTTTGTTTCCATTTTTTCCTTCTATTCTATTTTTGTCCTTTTCCCTGCCTTCCTTTCCCCATGCCCCCTCCCTATTTCCCCTTCTCCTTTGAACATCTTCATCCTATTTTACAATATCTGCTCTACTTCTTAGTCCTTATTAACACTTTTGATTTATCATGCCAGAAAAACCATGTATATTTGAACATGTGTGTCCAATTTATTTCACTTATGAGTATGGTATCAAGGTCCATCCATTTAGCTGGAAATATTTCCAGTTTATCCTTCCTTGTGGCTGAGTAGTACTCCATTGTATAAGAAAACTGCATCTTTACCCATTCATCAGTTGATGGGTATTTGGGTTGTTTCCAAGATTTACCTATGACAAACTGTGCTGCTATAAACATGGGTGCACATATATCACTGTGGTAGATATTTTTAATTCTTTCAGGAAGATAGCAAAAAGGGAAATAGCTGGGTCCAATGAGACCTCTAGTCCTAGTTTTTTGAGAAATCTCCACACTAATATCCACAGTGTTTGCACCAGTGTACACTTCCACCAACAGTAGAAAAGGATTCCTTTCTCCCCCACAACCCCTTCAGTATTTATTATTGGTTGATTTCTTGATGATAGCCATTCTTTCTGGAGTAAGATGGAATCTTGGGGTTGTTGCAGTTTCCATCTCTCAAATAACTGATGATGTTGAACATTTTTTGGTACATTTATTTGCTGTTTCCATTTCTTCACCTGAGAAGTGTCTTTTTATTTCAAATGGCATTTTTGGATTGGGTGTTGAAATTTGGGGGTATTATTTTTTTGAGTTCTGCATATATTCTAGATACTCGTCCTTTATCTGAGGAACAGCTGAAAAAAGTTTTTCCTATTCTATGGGTTGTCTCTTCACTCTATTGGTAGTTTTTTGGCTATGCAAAGCTTTTTAATGAGATTCCAGTTGTTGACTTTGCAATATTTCCTATGTGATTGGGGATTTGTACATAGTCTTTGCTATACCTATGTTTTCAAGAGTTCTACATATTCTATCTTTCAGTAGATTATTTGTTTCTGTTTTAATATTTAGAGGTTTGACTCATTTTATTTTTTAGTTTAGTTCATGGTGAAAGATATGGGTCTAGTTTTAAGTCCTTGGCATGTGGAAATCCAGTTTTTCCAGCACCATTTATTAAGGAGGCTATCTTTCTTCCAGTGAAGGTGTTTGGCCCCTTTGTCAAAGGTAAGGTAGCTGAATGTGTTTGGAGTTGTTTCTGCATCTTCTAGTTTGTTTCACTGATAATTGGGTCTGTTTATTTTTACCACTACCATGCTATTTTTATCACTGTAGCTTTGTAGTGCAATTTCAAG